TGGAAGCAGTGACTGCTGGACGTGTTAAACTACTAACTGCCCCACCCATGACAGCTTTCAGGGCGAGGTTAAAAAGCACATTTAAATGTATACTCTTTAACTGCTTAATAAAACACAAAATGTATAGAGTGGATTGAAAACGCTTGATGGTGTTGAGGGTAAGATTTTGGTTCTCAATGACTGTTGTAAATACATACAGTACTTGCAGTACGAGTACTGTATGCAGGCACACCACAGAAAATGGAGCTTCTTGCCAAAGGCAAACCCATTGAACGGCGCTCCTGTTCCTGCGGGAGTCGCTGGTATTTTTTTGACATTTGAATGTGTACAAAACCAAGCAGATCTGAAGTGTGCGAGTTGGCTCTCGTAGGTTATGCAAAACAAAATGGTTACAGTCTCACTGCACGGCTACGCAGCTACAGAAGTACGATTAGCAGAAATTCCTAAATCTTCACTTGGCCTTCAGAGAAACGGAGGTTTGCAGGATTGCCATTATGTGTCATCATATCAGGAGCCCCGTGGCAGCTAACGTCGTTCACATCATAGTTTCAGTGGATTGGCTGGCTAACGTGCACATCACTCTATTGCGGTATCCTTGGAGGGACCGAGGGTTTGTTCACTATTAACATGCAACGGCAGCTCCACCCTGAAGTTGATTGACATGAAACGCAACACTAGAAACCTAACATACACACACGCAGGAATACAAAAAGAAAAAGAAAGAGAGAGAGAGAGAGAGAGAGAGAGAGTGTATGTGTGTAAGGTATACCCTTTACATACTTCTATATGTTCTTCATACTAATACATTTATATTTGTTTCTTATCTGTCTTTCAGAGAGATCTTATTGGTTCTCTCTCTCGCTCTCTCTCTCTCTGTCTCTCTGTCTCTCTATACACACGGGGCTTTTGGGAGGATTTTTCATTATTGATGAGGACACATGCTCTGAACCATTGGGGCAGGGGGTGGCACATGTCTGCTTGACTCAGCATTCCTCTGTCCATTGCTCCTTTTTTAAAGCCACTGTCAGCATTACAAAAATGTGTGTGTGTCTGTGCGCACATGTGTGTCTCTACACACATGCGCCTGCTTACGGTCACACAGGTGAAATGAAAAAAAGAAAAGAAAAGAAAAACAAAGTGATCCAAGCATTCCATACTACGGAGTGACTTTACGAAGAAAAAGTGAAGTAAGAAGAATAGAAGGGAAAAAAACTACAGAGAGAACTGTTCTGTTCTCGTATGAGAGGAGCGTCGACAATCAATCCACTCGATGCTGCATCGACGAAGCCGGTATTAGCAGTAAATGAGACGAGAGATTTTCTAGTTCCTTAATGAGTAGGGAATTCTTTAACCCGTGTCACGTACGTGAGAATCCCGTAACAACATCAGACTGTATTTAACTGGTTTATCCATGTAGTCCTTCATCTTCTACCTTACCTCCTGAGAAGCTGCAGCCTAACTGACATTGGGTAAGGTGGTAAAGGGGGGGGGGGGGGGGGGGGGGGAGGCTCGCCAGCTGATCACACATCTAGCGTTCAGTAGAAACCAATTTGCACTCTTGATTGTACACATCCACACACAGATTGGTAGGGTTTGTAGTCTGTAGTTACTAGAGACTATGTTACTAGACAGTAACAGTTAGTAGGGTATATACAGTTCTATCTACCATCCATCCATCCATCCATCCATCCATCCATCCATCCATCCATCCATCCATCCATCCATCCATCCATCCATCCATCCATCCATCCATCCATCCATCCATCCATCCATCCATCCATCCATCCATCCATCTATTTTGCATTTTAAATGAGGATGAAAACAAACTGATTTATTGAAACCCTATTATAGATTTGGCACATTAATGCCCAAACGTGCTTTAACCCAAGCGGTATACTCATCATTATTTATGTCATGCATCACCATGCCCCACATCTTATGTTAGGTGGCTGTAAAGACACACTAACAAGGGATCAAACTATCGAACACTTGAAAATAAAGACGACGCTTACAATATGACTATTATTGTGCTTTTGGCAACAATAGTTTGCATAGGTTTCATTTTTTATCTGTAAAACATTAAAAAAAGAAAATCAAAATTCCTTCCAGTCAACAGCAGTTATCCTCGGTCCTTACAGACTACTCAATATTCAGACTCTCAGACTCTATTCAGACTCAGCTATGGAAAAGTACCCAGAAGGTAAATTAAACCACTTCCTAGAGGGGCACAGCATATCAATTGATTACACACACACACACACATGCAGCGAACCATTTGGCAAATGAATTGTTTCCATTTGCTAGTCTTGCATTGACTGATCAGAAAAATAGCTCTGCGTCACATGAAAACTGGCAGAGGCAGAGTCACATCTGTATGTCACACACAGTTAATGAATGAGCGTGGAGTACAAATTTCCCATTTCCATGGCAACAACAAAGTCACAGACATACAGCAGAAGACTTATGGTACAAGAATCCAAAATCAGTACGAGAGCTGGATTTGTTTTCTCATGACCCAGTTTCCCACAGAGTCGGATCAATAGCATTTTGGGGTTAAATGATCAATAACTAAATATTTATATGCCTGTTGGGGGAACTCTGATTTCTAAAATTCTTTCTCTGGAGTTTTATTGTTTTTTTTAAAAAGACAAATCTCATGACTCTCAAGTTAACTACCAGGAAGTATTCATAGCACTCATGAGGGCATTTTTTTAAATTGCATACCTAGTATCGTATTTCTTTCAGACACATACTCACTCACACACACACACACACGCACACAAACACACGGTGACAGTCACATCAAATATCCCCAGCCGCTGCCCTGTTGTAATTTATTATCCCTTCTGTACCCAGCAGAGACATGAAATCAGCCTGGCCTTTATGAGATGGCCATGGATGGACACACACACACAGACAGATTCCCCCGTCTATTTCCAAAATTCACACTGTCTCGGTACCTGGCACAGACATCTGTGGCTTAATTAGTATAAAAACCCAACGGATAGCACAATAGGCCTAAATATACTGAACAGATGAAGGGTGTGACCAGTTTCAAATTGTCAGAAAACACAGCGGAGGGGAAGGGTTGACACAATTCTATAAGTAAATTCCTACAAATGCTACAAGAGCAAATAGAGAACTGATTTCACAACCCCTCAGTTCCTCGTCTTACGTGTTTACAGTAAATACATTATCTTATCAGACTGCCTGCAGTTTATATTTACATATGTGTTTGGTCTACACCCCTCCCTCATACGTTAGCTGCTGCCCTCCCATGTTATCATCCTCCTCTCCCATGTTTGCTTTATGAATCATGTCATCCAACCCCTACTGGCCCATATTGTTGTGTCCTAAAACCATATAGGAGTCAAAGCAGATTGGGCCGCGGTACAAATCATTTTATGTTGGTTCTTCTGAAATGTTGACGTCAATCTGTCCTCGTTGTTGTCTTTCACAGATCCATCGGTGTTTGCTCAAAAACCAGTAAAACACAGAAACATTTATCAAGTGGTGGCAGCGTGTTTTCAGTAAGCCAATCACACCTGATTTTTTTTTAACTTTTGTATTTGCTGGCTTGTTTTTTAATTGAAGACTATGGATGTGGGCAATTAACACTTGAGTTTCAACTTTAGCATGTGCAGTCTCACACACACATTTTCCGCATGAGGGATTTTACTATAATTATGCCTTGGGTAGATTCTATAAAATTTCGTAAAAGGATTTAATGTTTTATTCATGGAACCAATTCAGTGTTGGATGGGGGAGAGCACAAAATAAAAACACAAATGTATAAAAGGTTTGTACAGTATAGGGATGTATTGTAGATGTAGTGAAGTATTTTTACATAATAAAACGTAACGCAACATTTTGAAAAGGGCCAAAATTGAATAATTCCACCCTTACTTGACTTTACTGTATATATTTCCAAAAAGAAATGTTACAAAAGAAATCATTCTTTAATAAGAGTAGCCGTATGGCAGCCATGTTCTTATTCAAATTTGTAGAAATGGATCCTTTCCTACTTTGCATGAAATTGAAAATGTCATCATAAAAGACTCGAGTTCACTTTTGAGTCTCTTCAACCTTTAATGCTATCTCAGGTGTGGGTGTTTGTACAGCTCACACTAATTAGCAAACTGAATGACAATTAGACTATCATCAGATAACTGTGATGTATTTTAATCAGATTACTTTAAGCCAATCATTACGTGACCCCGCTAATACCTGCCGTTCACCTCCCACCCTCTGCTCATCGTCTC